ATCGAAAATTTAGGGGCAACGAAAATGTTTTTGCTAAAACAAGGGCAAAAAAGAATTCATAATAAGCGAGGCCACGGAAATTGCAATTATTGGATATTTTGAAGCTTATCGTGAGAATTCAATAGCAGATATTCTCAAGGACTCTAATTTCAGTTATGGTACTGTTCAAAGGATTTTAAAAAAATACAAATTTATTCCGTATAAGTACCGACCAGTTCAAACGCTTTTGGCAGGGGATCCAGAGAGAAGACTTGTTTTTTGCCATTGGTATCTTAGCTTCTGTCGCCAAAATGTAAATAACTTTCGTTACCTTTTATGGACAGATGAATCAAATTTTTCAAATTCTGGAATGTTTAATAGAAAAAGCCACCATTATTGGTCAAGAGAAAATCTTTTGTTAGTACATCCAAGAGGCCCACAAGTCCGTTTCAGTTTCAACGTTTGGTGCGGTATAATTGGTTCAAAAATTGTTGGCCCGTTCTTTTATGAGGGAACCCTAACTGGTGAAAGATATGTGGAATTTATGTCAGAAATCCTGTCTAATTTCTTAGACGAATTGGATCTTATAAGTAGACATCATCTGCATTTTCAGCAAGATGGCGCACCTGCCCACAACTCCAGAGGTACTTATCGTTTTCTAAGTACTACTTTTAATGACCAGTGGATAGGAACAAATGGCCCAATACAGTGGCCTCCCAGATCACCAGATCTAAACCCACTTGATTACTTCTTGTGGGGTTACTTAAAGAACCAAATTTACAAGCGAAGGTACGATAACCTTGACGCGTTAAAGACTGCAGTTAGGGAAAAGATAACCCAGATAGATGGTAGGACCATACTTAAGACAGTTCGAGCAGTTGAAAAACGTGCCCAAAAATGTATTGAAGAACAAGGTGGTGTTTTCGAGCATCTTCTTTAAAAAAATTGTTATTGTATTTTGTAAGATTATAAGTTGATGTTGAAAATAAAGTTTGTCGATACAATTTAATTGTTTCAGATTGGAGGCCATAACTTCAACAATTTGTAACCTAGGAGAAAAGTTATTGTAAGCTTTTTTGTTTAAAATTTGATGCTTTAACAGAAAAAAATATAATATACAGGGGTTTCCATTTAAAAAAATGTTATTTTACTGAAAAAAATCAAAATAACGACTCTCAATTGTTTTTTTTTTTATTTCTCATTTTTACCAGCGTTAAAAATGCTACTAGTTTGCTAATTCAAACAATTTTGTATTTTCACTAATAACAAAGTTACTAATGGTGGACACATAATTTGGATAACCCTGTATAAACATGGGTCGAAAAATGCGTGGCTTCCGAAATACAGGGTGCTTAAATTTACTTTCTAAAATAATTTTTTTTGCTTTTTGAATAAAAAACTGATTCTTCGCACTTTTCAACATAAAAAAGCTCTCTTGTGAATTTTCGTTATAGTTAGCCGTTTTTGAGATATTTCGATTTATAAAGTTCGATGCATTTTTAATTATCTATGATAAAATAACGTTAAAAAGTCATCTCGATAATTTTAGAAGTAGGCTGTCCCTGCAAATGTTTTTGAAATTGAAAGCAGAATAAGCTTAAACGTCAATTGGTTGACAGTTAGTTTTGTTGTCTGTTGAAACCTGAAACGTTTTTTTGCAATTGTGAATGCACGAAATTTAGTTTCTTTTACCTGTTTTTTTTTTGTAAGTCTTATAAAAATGCCATCAAGAGTTAGCGGGTATTCATTTTGTGTATGGCTTTGTAAATGGAAACGCAGCAGAAGCAGCCAGAGAATACGCACGAAGATTTCCAAACTGACGACATCCAACTCGCTCAGTATTTGTAATAGTGCATCGCCAAATAATTGAAAATGGTTTTGGAAATGTCCAAAGGGATCAAAACATAAATGTTCGTCAGCGCAGATTTACCCGTATGATTCTGCGTGAGTTTGATAGAGATCCGACCATAAGTGTTAGGAGAGTTTCTGGTGCCTTGGGAATTTCAGCAAGCCATGTTCACCATGTTCTTAGAAATGACCATAGACGTCCTTACCATTTGCAACCTGTGCAAGGACTACAGCCAGGGGACGGAGAACGAAGAATCACATTTTGTCAGTGGATTCTTGATAGAACTGATAATAATAGGGAGTTTTTAAGCAACGTTTTATGGACCGATGAGTCATGCTTCACTAGACGTGGAGTGGTAAATAATGGAATGAAAAAGCTAATTCCCGCGATTGATAGAAGTTTTCCACAGTTATCCAATGGTGACCTCAGATTTGACCTTGAATATGACATTCAATGTCATTTAACGACCAAGGCCACCTTTCGTACCGTCAGATGACCTTGAATGCCATGATCAAGGTCAAACCCAAGGTCATCATTGAATAGTTGAGGAAAACTCCTATCAATCGCAGGGCTTAGTTTTTTCCTACCATTATTGGTTCACAAATTATCGCGGGGTTTCGGAACTTGCCATGTATATATGTACATTTTTGGTATTTACTTATATAGTTCAAAATTTATAGTTGATATAAAACTTACTTTACCTATACTGTTTCTATCATCTGTTTTTAAAATGTTTAGGTATGCGTAAAGAGTACAAGCAGTACCAGCGGTCTGTGAGCAACTGGCATATTCGTGAAGACACGTTAGTATTTACAAAAAGGTAAAAAAAGTTTAGTATACAAAAACAAGATACACATATGCTTACCGACTTTATAGTATTGGCGGAGGAAGGAGAAATTCACAACTATGTTCCTTTGATAAGATTCGATTACACACTTGAAGGATTGCATGTGTCATATCAACAGCGTTGCTTCCCGCATACCAGAAAAAAAAATCAGTCAGTAGTTTTCGCGTTTGTCATTACTAGAGCTTTACCAAGTAACATAGGTTCTTCATGTATCTGAGGCGGTGACGTAAGAGATTTTTCAGTTGCGCCCTGCTGCATTGTTTGCTAATACCATAGCTTTGTCTCGGTCGCCTCTTATGGCGACATGCTTTAGAACCCTTAAAATGGCGAGTTAAGGTCACATCACCTAAGAAAAGTTTTATTTTGTGCTTGAGACGTGTACGAAGTAGACAGCAAGTTGTTGGCTCTCAGTCATTGCCTCGCTTGTTTCATATTTGGTCCGCACCGGTATTATGTGAAAAACCTATAAAAGGTAAAAAAAAATCTGTAAAATGTCATATTGCAGACTAGGTAGTTTTTAGGGTGCAAACAGTAATTCCACGTTTGCTCACTAGGATCGTTGTGAGCGTCCATCTATTGTACCACATATCATCAAATAAAGAACAAAAATGGATCAAGGCCGGCACGGGCATTATGTAAAAAGCCTATAAAATGTAAAAAACATATAAAATGTCATCTTGCAGACTAGGTAGTTTTTAGGGTGCAAAACAGTCATTCCGCATTTGTTCACTAGGATGTTGTTGTTGTAAGCGTCCATCTATGGAGGAATAGCTCAGCTACACGCACAGTGGGCTGCATATGTTTTGTGAAGCCGAGTAATCTATAGTTTTCATCTCTGAGAAGAAAGTTGGATGAATAGCAAGATCGCATATGGATGATTGGGTGTATAAAATCAGTGATATTTGCTGTGTAAGAAAATTATTACTGATATGCTGCCCAGGAGTATATCAGTTACCTAACTGTGCCCGACGGGTTATTTAGATATATGTTGTCCTTTCTGTTCAAAGTTATAGATTACGATTTTTTACGTTTTTTTTTGTATTTTAAAAACTTTGAGGAGACTGTATATGACAGTGTACCGTGAATATAATTATTTATCTCTCTCATTTTTAAAATTCTGCAAATTTCCAGAATGTATAAGAAAAATTGGATGCGCAACTAATTTCTAGCTTTGAATCTCAAGTAAGTGTATTTGAGACAAGAACTTAATGGAATATTACCATCAACACATATTATTACCACACAAATCATCACTATGCATATATGCATTGTCGTTAGATTTTACATCACATCAATGCTAGACATTGATAAGCTAAGCCTCATGACCTTTAGGCAGCACGTACAATCAGCTAGTGTAGTAAGTTAACATCTTGTAGAAAAACCGACATAATGCCACAAAAAAAACAATATAATGTCAAAAATAGACATAATGTGACTTTTCAAGATACGTTGTACCCTCGTACATCGAACGACTGAACGAGTGCAGATCCAAAGAAATGGAATTAGTAACAGATCGGAATACTGACGTTCTCTGAATCCGGTAGGCAAAGAGAATGTGGAAAGACTGGAAGGCGTTACTGTGTTGGAGAGAGAAAACAAGCGAGGAGGCGTTCCGTTTCACGTACGTAGGTACGCATCACGCACCGAGCTGAATGTTCCCCTCTTTCCCCTCTCTACCAGCCGCCCTTTCACTGGGGCCGTTAATTAACCTTATCATCGCTCCCACCAGCGGAACTGTAGCAAGGCTTCGGCACACGGAATAAAGCAGGTTAAAATGGTAGCCGTGTGGTGATAAGACTGATTTATGATCTATCCTGTGAAATGGAAACAAAATGGTTACAGTGCGGTGGTTCTTTTATAGTTGTATGTAGTTATACCTACGTGAATTAATGCAAATTTTAATCAAAAGCAGTCAGAAAAGTTCTGTTATCAATAAAATCTGTTACAACGTAACGCCTCGGTGCCACTGACGTAGCTATAGCTCTGATAAGGGGGGGGTCCCCAAAGTGAAAAAAAACAGAGCTCTAACGCCAATTGGATCTATTACTTACAGATTAAACATTTCGATTATAACACGCAAGTATAGTCGCGGGTAATCTATAATATATAACTCAGGTTACTTAGGTAGGTGCCTTTAAATAAAAAGTTTAATGTATGTATTGCAATATTTATTCAAAAGTAACAAAGTTGAAACTTTAAAATAATAAATTTAGTCTTTTACGTTTTATTGCTAACTGATTGATAATTTCTTCGGAATCTAGTTGCACCGCCAGATCTCGGTGTACGCTCATTAAAGCCAGACCAGTAAGTCTTTCATCGCCCATTTTATTTCTTAGGTAGATAAGTTTTTAACCTCTTTAAGGTAGAGAAAGATCTTTCAGGGGTTGCAGTGGACACTGGGAGTGTGGCTAAGATAATTAGAAGCTTTTTTATTGAAGGGAAGAACTGATCATCGCAGTTATCGATAGCGTCAAGCACAGTTGCAGGTTTTTGTGCTACAGATTTCCAGTGATTGTGCCATATCTCATATTCACTCAGAAATATTGTGCCTTCATTTTCTCCACCAAGAAATGTTTGTGCAATTTTTTCAAGATTTTCTTTTATCCTGGAGTCATTACTAGTTTTTTCAGGTAACAGCATTTGAATTCCTTCGATCGTCGATTCATGTGGTTTAAAACGAGCGTCGAGTTCTGCAATAACATGATCAATGAAAGGGTAAAACACATTTCGTCGGTAGTATATTTCGGCAGTTTCTGCTGCAATATTATTGCGCAGGGTTTGCCTTCCAGTTATTCTTGGCACGACTATATCGCCTGAACTCATCTGCTGCGCTTGCTCAAAAGGATTGCAAACTGACTTTCGTTCCGAACATTTAGTAAAGTCGTTTTTACCGTTTTTGTATATTCGCAAATGTTGGTCAAATCGACATTGACTTTCTGCATTGCTTTGTTAAGGTTTGCTGTATATGAAAAAACTTTTCTCAGTATAACTAAAGAAACAATAAACTGGCTGTTATCCATAGCGGTTTGAAGATGGTATGCTTGAGTAGCGACGTCGCTGCTTGCAGCATCTTGAAGTGCCCCAAGTGTTTCGCGTATAACGGGAACCATTTCTGCAAATCTTTCGACAGCCACGTGTTTCTCGGTCCATCTTGTCTCACAAAGAGAGATAAGCGTTGAATGAGATGAGTTAATTTGATCCGCAATTTTCTTCAAAAGTCCGTCGCGAAGCGGTGATTGGCGAAAAAAGTTTATTACGCTCTTAATGGTTCCGATACAGTTACGTATCATTGGTATCTCACATGAATGCGCTAAAACTAAGTTAAGAACATGAGCAACACAGTGTACGAATTGCGCCTTCGGGTATTGCTCTGAGATTATTGTTCTTACGCCCCGTAACCGGCCGCTCATCACTGCAGCGCCATCATAGCCTTGACCAATCCATTTATCCATATCCAAGTTATATGATAAAAGATGTGATATAATAGTCGTTGCCAAAGCTTGAGCTGAAACATCTTCTACGTGAATGAATTCTAAAAAATCTTCCCGTATAACCGATTTCCCAGATGAGCAGTGTACATATCGTAAACATAACGCTAATTGTTCTCGCCGTGAAATGTCTTGTGTTTCATCAGCAAGTATAGTAAAAAAACCAGCCTCTTTGACCCTATTAAGTACTTGCGTTTGAATAGCACTACCACATAGTTCAATCACCTCATTTTGAATTACTGATGACGTATACATGGCTCTACTGTGAATGTTTTGTGTTAGTAAATGATTCTTGAGTGCTTCATCGCCAGATCGCGCACGAAAACGAAGAAGTGCTCTAAAATTACCATCATTATGTTCAGGCTCATTTATCCCAATTTCTCCAGAATCATGACTTCCTCTTAGTGCTATTGCTTGCCTTCCGCAAAGAATAATTGTTTCAACAATGGCTTTTAATCTTTTTCTGTTCTCTTCGGCAATTTTATTGTATTCTACATTTAAGCATTCTGTAACATCAAGCGTTTTTCCTTCCATGATCCTTGCAAAATTTGCTGCCTGCTCAACAGCAAATTTGTGATACTTCGTATCTGCATGGTGATCAAAGCTCTCTAAAGCTTTCTTCCAGTTAATAAATGGCTTACTAACAAAGGCTCCAAGTTCTTGATGACCACGACCACCTTGCGTGTTTCCAAGTAGAACACATACTTTGCAAAGTGCTCCCTGCATGAGGTTTGAATATACAAGCCATGAGTACCTGTTAGTCCAATGGCGTTGAAAAGAAAGTTTCTTTTTACCGGTGTCAGTGACTGGAAATTTAAATGTGTCCGGAGGAATCCAAGGCTCTTTTAATGCTCTCAGCTTTTCCTCGTCATTGCTTGGAGGATGACATACGTATTTCCCAATATCATAACCCGTCCTGGCTGCGGCTGCGGACGGAGCCGAACACAAATCGATCCTGGCTGTAACAAAGAAATATTTGAAAAAACTAAAAAGTTATGTTGGGAATAAGAATTTTCAACTAAAAATTAAGTCTACGCGAACACAGTCGCGGGCGCCACTTAGTTGTTAAATATAATTCTATTTCTCTTAAAAGGCGAAATGATTTTATGACACTTAGGTACATTCCGCATATACACTGAAATTACCATTTTTGTCAAATATTTTATGCTCACGGCAACACAATTGTTTACAAAAATTCTCTGGGAATAAAATAAGAGCAGGATAAAAGTTTTTAGAGCGTCTATTAAATTCAAATAACTGGATTTCTTCCTAATTAAATAAATAAGAGACTTACCTTTCTTCACTTCATCGTCATCAGTATCTGTGGATGGCCCCGCTCTATTTATTCCTACTTCTTCAATTGACAAAAGTCATTGGCTTTGGACTCTCTTTCTTACAAAAAAAACCCAAAAGAGATACCTGATTTGTTCGTTTCATAGCGACACTTCTTTCTATATTGTATTTATAACAACTGCGCAACGCGTCAACGCGAAGAGATAAAATAGACTAGACAGTTCTTTGGACTAGACTACTAGACTAGCTTGGTTTGGTGCGCGCCGCCGAAGCGCGGGCGACGGTGGCGGGGGAAGTGCCCATCCCCCCTCACCCCGCACTACGCGGGCATACGCATCGCGTTTTCCGATACTCGCCCTACGGACACGCTCCACAGCAACTATCGTTTATTACAATCGGCGCGGTGCATGTAATTTTTTTCTGTTGGACAAGTAAGGTGGATATGAATGGGGGGGGTCCGGACCCCCAAAACCCCCCCCTTATATACGTCCGTGCTCGGTGCTTAATGATCGGAGTTATTCCAATCAACTTTCAGGTAAAAACAAGCGATGTGAAAAGAAATAAGAGAAGAACTTTTTTTTTTTAAGGTCGTCAAATCATAATTTTGATAGCATCAGACTCTAGGTCTACCAGTGTTAGGTATATGTCTCCCAACATCAAGTGGCTTCACAGTACAACTGAGGTGTACGATTATTTCAACATTTGCAAAACAGGTACGATGGAGACAAAAATGTTGGTCGGAAAAAGGCGGGCCCCAAAGCCTGAAGTATCCGCGCTCCCCAATGGTTATCCTTGTCGCAAAGAGGATTAAGTACAGTTAGGGCCAATTTCACCAACAAAAATACTGTCAAAGTATGAGATGTCAACCTGTCATTGAAACATCACCAGCTTAATGAATCCTAAGAAATTACATATAATTCAGTCAAAATTTAAACAAATGTTTGATTTTTCAATAAAATTCATGTTTTAATTACCATTGTTGATTTTTTATTCATGATAATATTATTTTCTTCAATTGATATGCGATTTTACTGATTCAAGATCATCTACTGGGTGTTTTTTCCTATAAACCTGTTGCAGATAGCCATTAAGCACCTACTTGATGACTGGCTCTACCAAAAAGTTCATAGATATTGCTCGTTTCCAAACATTCATTCATTTACTTGCCGTTCATCAGAACCATTATGGAACCTTAGATTGATATTCCCACAAAACCATTCTGGTTTTTTAATATCCATGCATCCATAGAGTTGAATATTTTCGTTGTTCAGGAACTTAACAAACATCCACACTATATTCACAGCGATTAAGAAATACCCAAATATATACTAAGTGACATATAAATCCGAACACCCAGTTTAAATGGTTTTATTTTAATAAAATTTTGTATAAGTACTTAATGGAGCATAATAAGTAAATGATAAAAATTTCAAAATGATTGCACTGCTTTAAAGCCCTTTGACCTTTAATAATGTGTGGATGCACCCTGATGTGCTACGCATTCTCCAACGCGCCTAGGCATGCTTCTGATCAGGTGGTCAATGTCCTCCTGTGGTATCTCATTCCAGGCAACCACCAACTCCTCTCGAAGTGCTTATAGAGTCTGAGGAGGACGTTGCAAATTGAGCAATCTCCTACCCATCATACTTATCCCACACGTGCTCAATTGGGGATAAGTCGGGAGATCTTGGTGGCCATGGTAACAATGTGACATCATTATGTTGAAAGAAGTCTGTTGTGACTCTTGCAACATGTGGTCGGGCATTATCTTGTTGGAAAGTTGGATCTGCCAGCGTGTCAAGATAGGGTAAAAGATGGGGTTCTAGAACTTCGTGGATATAACGCTGCGCGTTCATGTTACCTCTGATGAAGATTAAAGGTGACCTGGAACCATAAGCTATAGCACCCCAAACCATAACTCCAACAGTGTGATGAACATGTCTTTCAACAAATGACTGTGGATTCCTCCTTTCACCACGTCGCCTTCTAACCCTGGCACGACCATCGTGCATGCCTAAACAAAATCGAGACTCGTCACTAAAGACAATACTGTTCCATTCCTGATCCCAGAGTGACCGTTGTCTGCACCACTCAAGGCGATTACGTCGGTGTTCTCGAGTTAAAGGGAGGACCCAGTGTGGCCGGTATGAAAACAAGCCAAAACTTCTCATTCGTCGGTAAACACTTCGCATGCCAATAGGTCTTCCGTGTTCTGCAAACCATTCATTTGCAATGGACCTGGTAATGGAGAAACGGTCCCTTAAGGCCAATCTTAGGCGGCGATCTTCACGGTCTGTTGTTCTATGGCGGCGTCCAGTGCCCCTTGCTCTTTGCGTACGGCCTTCTCGAAGCCATGCCTGACAACACCTAACCACAGTGTCTACACTTCTTTGCACTCTAACTGTAATTGCCCGAAAAGAAAGTCCAGCTTCCCGAAGTCCCACTATACGGCCCCTATCAAACTCACTGAGTTGACGAAATCGTACAGGTCTCCGTACTCTAGGCATCGTAACCGATCGTAAAGGATGTCAAGAACCAAATCCGCCAACGTTGATTCTTTACTGCGGCTGAAATATTCATTTTTAGAGTGTTAGTGAATTAAAAAATAGCAGTATAAAAAACCGCAATGTTCAACTGATAAGGCTGAAAATTTTTTCACTTGTTATTTTCCATGCTATTCAATCACAACACGGTGACTTGTGTGGTTGTCAGCGGCCATTTGTGAGGGTGCGACAGGGTTGCCAGATTGTGCATTAATATCCCGTTTCACCCTCCTGGTCCCAGTGGAGTAAGTTCCGCCAACTGTTGAAATATACTATGCTTTATAAGATTATTCATGACATTTTTCCCAAAATCATTGCACAACACTTGAAAAAATGCAAATGAAAATTTCAAATTATTTCCATGACGCCGTCGGTACCTTGGGTTATACATCTTGACAGTAGGGATGTTCGATAGGATCCTATATTTAGAAGTATCAATACATTTCACGAGTATCGTCATCTTTCGATCCGGACTGTGTCAGAAAGACTGACTGCCATTTGGCTGCGACATTACCCTGCCAAATCAGACATAGATGATACCAAAAATATTTTCATAAATAGGAGATCTTTCCCATTCCGGATCGAACAACCTACCAAAGATGCTTATAATCATGATACCTAGTAAATTTTCACGAAAAAAATTCAAAAGCAGCAAATGTACAAGATTCATTTCGCACCCTCCACCTCGAGACGTGATCGTCGTTAGACTTGGCAACCCTGCGAGTGACAGATAGATATCCCCGCCAGTCAAAAAAAAAATAGACATACAGTAAACATTACTAGTTTTTTTGATTTTTGAACTTAATGGCCATTATATGTGAAACATTTTTCATAATTTTTTTGTCTATGTCTATGTCCATTATGCATCAGGGAGACGCAGGGATTGACACGTCTTACACATGTTATCTGTGTTTTAGGATGGACAGGACATAATGTTTTTATTGCTTTGAAGAAATTCATTATCCCATAAATTAATAAATGATACTATTATGACGTAAAGGAAGATGAGGAATTGGATGGAATGTATTTTATATTCTATTTTCTTGCAAAATACAGACAAGTCCACACTATTCAACAGGTATGTAATGATAACTTTCAGTATATTGAAGTTGGTAAATTCAAGAGTGCCATGCATTAACAAACGTCCAAATCTGCTGCCAAATTTAATAGCTAGAAAAGCGACCTATTATTTGCCGCATTCCCATTCGCTGAGGAGGATAACGGATTGTTAAATGTAAACCTATAACATATATCAAAATACATAAAGTTGTCCTGTTTTTTCTGTACAAAAGTATCATGTTGGAATCAAAAAGTGGTCTTGTTTATAATACAGTCGAATTTTCACGATTTTATTCAATATTTCAATAGAAATCACCAATATTCAGAGACCTTTGACAGCTTTCGTCAAATTGCATTTCGATAATGTATTTTCCCATTGGTCCATAATATGAATGTTGGTGAAATTGGCCCTAAATGTAACATACTAGAGATGAAACAGAAGGCAGGAGTGCTTTACACACTTATTGAGTAAGCTTTTATGCTAGAAGCTGTTCACGTGGAAAACAATTACCAATGGAAAGTATTTCATGAATTGAGAACATTCAATCTTATTATGACAACAATGTGCCCCCTATTTCAATTTATCTTTTTGATACCTTCGGTTTTAAAAACTGTAGGCCAGTGATGACGTTTACACGTATATTTATGTACTTTGTCTACAATGCACGTATACTTTAATTGTCTACAATGTTTACAATGCGTACCTATACAATGTATACGCACAAGCGGGGTTAGGTTGAATTGATGAACTTAGGGCATCTTGAGACTATGTAGAAAACCACCGAATGAGATTGAAAACAGGTCATAGATCCGAATTTTCAGGACATCCACATATCCTTTTTTTGCGCAGAGCAGTCTAAACCGTTAATCGAGCATACCAGAAAGGCATCCCTACATAATAATAATTACAGAAATACGTTATACGCACATGAAAGTCACCCCTGGAAGTCGCGATCTTTTATGATACGTGATTCGGAGCATAATAATTACATGACATCTCGCTGTGCGCTTTTCTAAATCGCGAGACGCATTCCTCTGTTCGACAATGCCTCCAGCCCCGACTATTTCTCAGTAATTACACACCGGAAGAGCACGTGCTACTTCCGGTACGAAGGGTCTCTCCTGTGCGCAGTCATCTTAGAACCGTGAGAATGTGGAGTGTTTGATTTGACTCTAAATGCACGACAAGGTAATAATAGAGGGCATTCGGGCGCGTTACACTTTATTTGCCTTTTAGATGTATTGTCTAAAGTCAAGTATTGTCTCGATGAAGTGCACTGAAGGGGACCTGTAGAGCTCTATTTTTCTTGTAACGGCTGAAGAGCGATGAAGGAACTTGTCAATGCATTGGGGCGATAATTTTTAACGTTCAATGGACGTTGATAGTATAGAAATTTGAACAGGGACTTACATTTGGTAGCGGAACAGGCCACACCAAAACAAAACAAGAGCATTTAAG